GAAGGTTTGTTTTCATTTGCCTGACCCACCAGAGTCACTGTCGAAACAATTAAATTATATTCAATCGTTAATTATTCTGTTCGTTTTATAACCCCTGTCGACAACTGCATAAACTTACAACTCTGGAGTAATGAAATGTTACTTTTAACGGCGCTCGGAGGCTTTACATTTAAGTCTTTCACCCTCAGTTTTAAAACAGAAAGTGTGGAATTAATGCAAACCATTGACTTTTGAGCGAAAGACTATCAGTCATTTTGATTGGATGACATATTGTGATACTAAAGGTTTTGTCACCGAACCGGATAATTACAAATATTTATCATTAGCGACAACCCACTTGAACTTTACAAGGTAAAATATTTTATTTTCGTACGAGTCCTCGAGAGACAGTGAATTCCGGACAAATCGGGTAAAAAGGCTTCTATTTGCAATGGCTTTTTTTCAGAAGGCGCGAACGAGTAGTTCATCTTCAGCTGACAGTTTCTTATGCCCAGTCTGCAATGAGGAATATCAAGATGAACCCAAACAACTTCCTTGCTTGCACACGATCTGTCAAGATTGTCTGTGCGATGCTGCGACCGGGAAAAATGCTCTCAAGATTTACTGTCCCATTGACGGCCAAGAATTACCTCTTCCGATGGGAGGAATCAAAATGTTGCCGACAGATTTTCGTGTTTTGCGGCTCGTAGAGGCTCATCGCGGCCAGAACAAGACGAGGAGCGAGCGAAAGCCAAGGGAGCCGAGAAAAGAAAAACCCGAGAAGGCCGAGCGCAAAAAGACGCGGAATACTGACGAAGATTCGGGCCCACCTTTGCAAGAGCAAGAGGAAAGAATGAAAAAACAGCTTTCAGAGATGATGGCAAAGCTAAGAAGTTTGCTGGATGAAAAGGAAAAGGCGCTTTATAAACAGATCGACGACGCAATGGCTAGAGAGAAAAGAAGCTTGTCTATGAATGGGGCAGAGGGCGAACAGAAGAAGAGAGCCATTTTTCTTCTTGATCTTACGCCCAGTCGGAAAATTTTGCAGAGCATCAAAGAAGAAGGTTTAGCGGCCATTCAAGGCAATCGCAAGGCCCCCACCCTTCTTAGTGAGCTTAACACGGCCGGTATCACCCCGTCTGGCAACAAAACAGCCACTCCTGACGCGAACTACCGCGAGGCAGCTGAGGTGATTCGAGCCTTGAATGTACCTCTTCAATTTAAGAGCATGTTCAATCCTGGCGCTGTAGCTGTTGGCAAGAACGGACATATTGCTGTCACAGACTACGGTAACGAGTGCGTGTGGCTTTTCAATCCGGAGGGGTCGTTTCTGTGTCAGGTTAGTCACGCGTTACAAATTGATGTTACACAGCAAATAGCGGTCATTGGCAGATCCAGGAAATTTTGATGTGGTGATCACGAGGGGGATGCGGGGGAAAGATGGAGTCCAAACTTATCTATAGCCTAGATAAGCAAGGGAATATTTCAAGACGAATGAATTTTTCAAAACTTTATATAGGGTAGTGATATAAGATCCTGCCGCTGTTAGGATTTTGGTGTCAGAAAAAGACCCAAAAGGTCTGATGGGGGTTAGAAG